AAAGACAGAAACTAGATGGCCCCTGAACTCTGAAATATGTACTGTCTGATCGTCTACAGAAAATAATTTGCTCACCTCTTGTGTTTGGGTTAAGCACTTAGGTTGTCAACAGCCTTTATTCAAATCTCAGAAAAAAACCTGCCTTCTGTGTAATTTGGTCACAAACCTATAAAACTGGAATACAAATACGTCAGGGTTGATGTGAGAAGTAAGTTCAATAATTCTAGTGCTGTTGACTCTGTGAGAGTTATTCAGATTCATCTAAATTAAAGGTTTCCAGAGCTTTCTCCATATTCTTGGGTCTTTTCTATCCTTATAAAAATGAAACATCAAAAACATTTGAGGAATTTGTGCAGCCACCCTTCCTGTTCCAGGAATATAAAACCATAAAATACTTGAAGTGTATTTTTAGTATATTTAATGTTGATTAATAGAGGCATGGCAACTTAGGAAGTATCCATTGGTGTGCCTTGGGATACTGATTTTTGGTCTATTCTGGGTATCACTGCACTTCAGGACTGAAAAATTAAGGCATACAGATGAAATTTCTAAGAGACCAAAACTTGATATAATAGGATCAGGATTCACAATGACCCTCCATAGCACCAGACGAAGCCATGGAAGAAATAAGAACATTTACCAGGGATTGCTGTGGATTCTGGCATCAATTATTTAAGTCTGGGAATGGGGAGACGTGGCCAGACAGCAGCTCCTGGGAAGCAGATCTGGGGCTTCTAGTTGGCCACAAGCTCAATTTGAGCCAGATGTATGCAGCTGCCAAGGAAATGATCGTAGGCTGCGTGAGCAGGGGCAGGAGAGGGTGGGTCCAGGGAAGGTACGAGGCTCCAAGGCAGGCAGAGGAAGAACACAGTTTAAAGGAGCGAGGCAGCCCACATCTGGACCAGGGAGGTGAGCCGCGGAGACAGGGGCGCTGCAAGTCGTGCAGACTGAAGGGGCGGTGGGGAAGTCAGGCTGATGAGTCAGCGGCATCTGTTAGAGTGAGGGGCGACCCAAGGACCTAGGGATGTTTCCCAGGGAAGGAGACGACCACAAGGCAAGATGGAGCTCCTTTTTTTCTGTTTCAATAATTTCTATTTGTGTGCGTGCTCAGTTGGCCCATGGACTGTAGCCCGAGAGGCTCTTCCGTCCCTGGAATTTCCCAGGCAAGAATAGGAGTAGGGTGCCATTTTCCACTCCAGGGGACCTTCCCGGCCCAGGGAGGGAACCCGGTCTCCTGCATCGGCGGGTGGGCTCTTTGCCACTGCACCACCTGGGAAGCCCCAGGGCCTGTTTATTAGCTCACTTATGGCTGTGCCTGGTCTCCGCTGTGGTTCAGGCTTTTCTCTAGCTGTGGTTATCAGGGGGTGCTCTTCACTGTGGGGGGTGGGCTTCTCCCTGCAGCGGCTTCTCTTGTGGAGCACAGGTTCCAGGGCACACGGGCTCAGTAGTTGCAGAGTATGGGCTTAGTTGCGCCGAGGCATGTGGGATCTTCCCAGACCAGGGATCGAACCTGTGTCTCCTGCATTGGCAGGCAGATTCTTTACCACTGAGCCACCAGGGGAGCCCAAGAGGGAGCTTTTTGAAAGCCCCAAAGTTCTTCCACATGGAGGAAGCTGGCTTACTATCTGTATAGTTTTTTGGCAAACTTTGGGGGGGATAAATGTGATACCTCTTGGGGTATCAGTTCAGCTCACAACAGCTTCTCCATCACTCCTGTGTGTACCCCTAGTCCACGATCTCAAGTGAGGTGAGTCCCTGGAGGACGCATTTGTCCACAACCCTGCCTTCCTGTGACAGCTGATGCGACAAGGCGTGGATGCTTGCCAGAAGCCAGATCGATCCATCCTTGCTCTGGGGAATGTGGAATTGCCTTGGGGATGGACTGCCAGGCTGCTTCTCCGTATGATAGCATCTGATATGTGTAAACATGGGACAGCCATTTCCCGCCATAATAAGAGAGTAGTGGAGAGAGCAATCACAGAAGAAAAGAATGTAGAATGCAGAGAGGCAGAGGTGGAAGATGGAGGGTCTTGTCTGGCTGGATTCTCTCATCCTCACTTTTTTCTTTAGCACTGACTTTGGCTGTGCTGGGTCTTGTTTTGGTGCACAGGCTCTAGATCACCTGGGCTCAGCAGCTGCGTTAAGTGGGATCTAGCTCCCAGTGTGTGCGGGCACGCCCAGTTGCTCAGTCCTGTCTGACTCTTTGCGATCCCACGGGTTGTGGCGCAGAGCAGGGCCCAGACCCAGACCCCCTGCACTGGGAACAGCGTCTTACCCAGTGACCACCTGGCGAGTCCACGGGCTCCCGCTTCTCGGCATTCTTTCTTCCGAAAGCCTGACTGCCTTCCTGGACACAGGACTCCTTTGTGCCCTTGTTATAAATCCCCTCCCTTTTTTATTTCCACTAGTCCAACTGGGCTGCTTCCCTAGTAACTGAGTGTCTTAAGTACTGCAGAGTGCAGCAGAAGGTGGCTCAGTGTGCAAAAGACATAATAGCAAGTCCAGTTCAGCCACTGGAGGAGCAGCCTCAGGAAGTCAGCATATTTATGTCTCTGGGATCATTTAAGTAGGAGCTGAATGACCCTAGGTAACTGGGAATCATAAGGAGATGGTTGGATGTCATCACCGACTCAACGGACATGAGTCTGAGCAAACTCCGGGAGATGGTGATGGACAGGGGAGCCTGGCGTGCTGCAGTCCACGGCGTCACAAAGTCGGACACAACCTAGCAACTACACAACAAGGAGAATCCTGCACTTGATTTCAGAGTTTTGAAACTGACTGTGGGTTTTGCCACTCCGTTGCTTTGGGCTCTTGAACAATGTTCTTAAGTTTCAGTGGTCCTATTTTTTTTTTTTTTCTGCAGAAAGGGGGAGAATAGGCAACCTCACAGAACTATTGTGAGGATAACGTAACCTAATATGCTAGTTTCTTACTACTCCTGTTCCAGTTCCAGTTCAGTCGCTCACTCATGTCCGACTCTTTGCAACCCCATGAACTGCAGCATGCCAGGCTTCCCTGTCCATCACCAACTCCCGGAGTCCACCAAAACCTATGTCCATTGTGTCAGTGATGCCATCCAGCCATCTCCTTTGTCGTCCCCTTCTCCTCCTGGCCCCAATTCCTCCCAGCATCAGGGTCTTTTCAAATCAGTTAGCTCTCTGCATCAGGTGGCCAAAGTACTGGAATTTCAGCTTCAGCATCAGTCCCTCCAATGAACACCCAGGACTGATCTCCTTTAGGATGGACTGGTTGGATCTCCCTGCAGTCCAAGGGACTCTCAAGCGTCTTCTCCAACACCACAGTTCAAAAGCATCAATTCTTTGGTGCTCAGCTTTCTTTATAGTCCAACTCTCACATCTGTACATGACCACTGGAAAAACCATAGCCAGAAACAGCAACAAACTTAGTGGCTTGAAAAAGAACAAATTTATTATTTTCCAGTTCTGGAGGTCAGACATCCCCTCTGGAGGTTCTAGGGGAGAACCCACTTCCTTGGCTTTTCCAGCTTCTGGAGGCTATGTGCCTTCCTTGACTCACGGTCCCTTCCTGCATCTTCAAAGAGCATCTCTTCAGTCTCCGCCTCCATAGTCACAGCTCCTCTGATGCTAAGCCTCCCGCCTCCATCATTCACTTACAGAGACCCTGTGATTATACTGGACCCTCTGGGTGATCAAAGATACTCTCTTAAACCCATCTGCAGGGCAGCAGTGGAGACACAGACATAGAGAACAGACCTGTGGACACAGTGGGGGAGGGAGAGCGGGATGAATGGAGAGAGTGGCAGGAAAGACGCACATCATCATGTCGGACAGTCCGGGAGAGCTCAGCCCCGTGCTCTGCGACGACCCAGAGGGGTAGGACGGGGTGGGAGGCGGAGGGGCGTTCAAGGGGGAGCGGACGAATGGTACCTGAGGCTGTCATGTTGATGTACGGCAGAGAGCAACACAATATTGTAATAAAGCAGTTGTCCTCCAATTGAAAATTTTTTTTAAAAAGACACTCTCTCATGTAAATCCTTAGCTTCATCACACCAGCAGCATCTCTATTGCCACAGGAGGCACTATACTCACAGATTGCAGGATCAGGATGCAGGCATCTTCAGGGGGCCGCTATTCTGCCTCCATACCTAACGATAGGAAGAGCGAACTTTTATTGAAAGCTGTCTAAGAGGCACTGTGCTAAATTCTTTTATGCAGATTGCTTTATTGAAGCATCACCACAGTTCTGGCAAAGAGACTCAGGAAGGTGAAATGACTGGCCTCAGAACACCCAGTTGGGAAGTGGCAAAGCCGAGACCCGAGACTCATCTTATCTCGGGGTCCTCTCTGAACCACCCGTGAGGGCTGCAAGGCCGCATGCCTAACTTCAGGCTGCAGTCTGTGGGAACCAGAAAGGACTCAGGCCTTCTTCCGAGCTCAGTGGCTGTGGAGCTCCAGCCCAAAGGCGCCAGTGTTCCTGCAGAATCCCGATGTCAGCATCATTCATGTGACATGGCCCAATTATGACATGCTGGAAATCAACTCAAATGTTTAAAAAAACTTTGTGCAGCCAAATAATATGGACTGATGGGTGTACCTCACCCCTACACTATCAATTTAAGATATCTTCAGTAATAAACTATATATATATTGGTATTTGAAGATCTCTGGCTCATCGTAATGACTAACAGGTGGTTAGCAGTTACTATATGCCTGGCATGATGCTACATGCTTTACTGTCTTATTTCATTCACTAGTCTGGATTCCTAATTAAGAATTTAATTCCTTAGTTGGAAAGTTATTTTTATTTTTAATAGGATTCTTACTGGCAAGTGTAAGATGTTGACGAAGGCTCTTCTAGAGCAAAGGTTTAATCTTGGGCTTTCCTGGAGGCTCAGATGGTAAAGAATCTGCCTGTAATGTGGGAGACAGGGTTTGATCCCTGGGTCAGGAAGATCCCCTGGAGAAGGGAATGGCCACCAACTCCAGTATTCTTGCCTAGAGAATCCCATGGACAGAGAAGCCTGGTGGGTCCATGGGGTCGCAAAGAGTTGGACACAACTGAGTGACTAACACTTTTCAGTTGATCTTGGTTCCAAACTTGGCTACCCCATTTTACTAACTGTGATGGTGAGCAAGTTAATGTACCTCTCTGAAGGTATTTTCTCATCTATAAAGTTTGTTCATAGCTTTCTGAAAGGATCTCTATGACAATATGATCGTAGGTGGAAGCACTTTCTGAAGCACCATACAGATATTACTTATAATTCACACGTAATTTACCAGAAGAACTGACTCAGGAGGTAGACAGCACAGAGACTGTGGTTCCTGTTATAAATAGATGATGGAGATTTTTTTTTTTTTATTGGCTTTGTTTAGCTCACAAAGCCTCCAAAAATTTTCGTGCTGAAGCGCTCATTGCTCCCCTCAGACTTGATGATGGAGATTAAATGTGACGTTTCCAGCTAGAACGCGTCATGTATCGAGGCTCAGGGCTGCAGGGAGCCTCCACCGTACAACTTCAAGCGTCCTAGAGCAAAGACGGACATGTGCTGGCTGGGAGACAGGAGTTACAAGTATTACCTTCTTGAGTTTCTAACTCACTGGAAAGATCTGTTTTCTACAGTGGAGACTCACAGACCCAAACTGGCAGCAAAGACTGGGTCTCAGGGAATTCAGGTGCCGCCCACAAACTGGTCACAAATAAGATGGCTTTAGGACTTTTCCGTTTTCTTGACTCAGTTTTCCCACCTGGCAAATGGGGCAAATTGGAAAAAAATTATGTAATCTCTAATATGATCTAGCCTGTTACTTAAAAAAAAAAAAGAACTAAAAAGAGATATATGAATTCCTTGCCAAGCAGCTTTAGAACTTTTTGTATTTTCCAAAGCCGTTTCTGTCTTGGAGAGTAGAATGGTGGTTACTAGAAGCTGGGGTGGGGACAGGTGATGGAATAGGAGAGACGTTTAAGGTACCAACTTGTAACTGGTAGAAGAAGAAGTTCTGGATCTAGCACACAGCATCGTGACTGCTACAAACAATACCGTACTAGAAACAACACATTTGCTAACAGACTAGATCCTAATTACTTCCGCCACAAACAAAAAATTATGAGACTCGATGGACACATTAGCTAACACGACAGTGGCAATCACATTGCAATTATAAATTAATCAACCCAATGTGTAGATCATAAACTTACACAATGTTATATGTCAAACACATTTTAATTTAAAAAATGCTTTCTGTTTTAAAGGCATCTGGATTAAAGAAAATTTAAGAGAGAGAAATAATGAAAGAACCATTCAGTAATATCCCAACAACCTAAAGACAACCAATAATTGATTTTCATTCTTTTTTTCTATCCCTAAACTCTGGGTTGCTGGGGGATGGGGTGGGCTGGGGGTGGCGGGGGCGGAGGAAGGGATAGTTAAGGACTTTGGGAAGGTCACGTACACACAGCTTTATTTAAAATGGAGAACCAAGAAGAACCTACTGAATGGCACAGGGAACTCTGCCCGACGTCTGTGGCGTCCTGGACGGGAGGGGCTGCGGGAGGACGGATCCATGTGTATGTGTGGCTGCGTCCCTTCGCTGCCCACCTCACACTGTCACAGCATTGTTAATTGGCTATACCCCAGTACATAATGTTTCTGGTATTAAATAAATAAAAAATAATTGTACTCACGAATATAAAAAAATAAAGGCATCTGGACATCAGAAAAAATGTAAATGAAACTTTTATAATATTCATGTTGTCAAAGCTAAATGTTCAGACAAGACCTCCCTCTTTTGGTCATGACCTTCCAGCTTTCACCTTCAGAGGCAGCCACAGTCACAGGGTTCTGGTATGTTCTCCAGAGACGGTCTGTACCAGTGGCTCTCCGCTGGGGGTGATCTGACCTCGGGGACAGTGGGCAATGTCTGGAGACAGCTTCGGCTGTGACTGCTGAACGAGCTGCACAATGGGCACCTAGCGGGCAGAAGCCAGGGGTCTTAGCGTTGTCCCGGGCCACCCCACAGCAAAGAAGCATCTGGCTCCGAATGTCAACAGTGCCGAGGCTGAGAACCCTTGTGTGCACATATTAGCACATACAAGTGTGCATGCACACGCAAACACAGGTACACACCTGCTCTCTTATATACGAGCAGCAGACACACCACCCACTTCACTTCACCTTTTCCTTTCCACTGAGCCGTGGAGCTTGTTCTGTATCTGCACAGACAGACTCCTTCAAGCTGCAGAGTATGCTGCTGCATAAATGATCGTTTATTTGCTCAGCCTCCTGTTGAGAGACATTTAGATAGTTTCCAGCTTCCACAAACAATACTGCGGCGATTATTTTACTGCACTTATTTATTTCTGGCTGCCCTGCGTTCTTTGCCTGAGCGTTCTCTGTTTGAGGCGAGTGGGACGACCCCTCGCTGCTGTGTCTGCTTCGCGGGGAGGCGGCTCGTCTCGCTGCGCAGCCCGGGCTCCAGGGCGCGCGGGCTCCGTGGTCTCAGCAGTGGCGGCCGTGGGCTCTTCAACACGGGCTCGGTGGGCGTGCTGCACGGGCTTAGCTGCCCCCTACTTGTAGGATCTTCCGGGCCCCAGGATCCAACCCATGTCCCCGGCATCGGCAGGTGGATTCTTATCTGCTGCGCCGCCAGGGAAGTCCAATAGTGCTATCATGCTTGTTCACAAATGCCCACGTGCTCGCGTTGTCTGCCTGACAGCTCCTGTAAGCGGGGTAACCAGATCAAACAGCACGAGGCTTTAAAATGTCGACATATGTTGTTCTGTTTGTGTGTGCTCAGTAGCGTGGTCATGTCCAACTCTTTGTGGCCTCATGGACTGTAGCATGTCAGGCTCCTCCGTCCATGGAATTTTTTAGGCAGGAATACTGGTTGCCATTTCCTTCTTCAGAGGATCTTCCTGATTCAGGGATCGAACAGACCCGAGTCTCTTGCATCTCCTGGCAGGTGGATTGTTTACCACTGTGTCACCTGGGAAACCTACAATGTCAATCGGTGTTACCAAAGGTCCTGAAAAGACAACTGATTTTACATTCTTCCTGAGGATGGAGAGAGCAAATCTTGTTGGCACCTCACCAACGGAGTACTGCCTTTCTGTCTTTCAGTGGATTCAGTTTCAATTAATTGCACACTTTAAACCAACTGCAATTTCCAACCGTTCATTTTTCAACAAATATTTAATTCTTTGTGTCAGGTCCTGGGGTGGGGTGGGAGGGGAAGAATAGATTTAAAAAAAATTTTTTTTACCTTATATTGGGGAATAACCAATTAGCAATGTTGCGATGGTTTCCGGTGGACAGCAAAGGGACTCAGCCACACAGATACATGCGTCCACTCTCCGCCACACTCCTCTCCCACTCAGGCTGCCGAAAAACCCTGAGCAGAGTTCCCTGTGCGAATGCAGCAGGTTCTTGTTGGTTATCCACTTTAAATAGAGCAGTGGATGTCCATCCCAAAATCCCAATCTCTTTCCCCACTGGAAGAATAAATCTTGGTGTCCACCCTCAGAGGTACTCCCAGAAGATAGACGGACACGGTTTGTGCTAGTGTGTGATAAATTCTGTAAATTTGGCCCAGCATACCAGGGTGCCTGGGGGCTTCCCCGGGGGCTCAGCAATAAAGAATTGACCTGCAATGCAGAAGATGCAGGTTTGATCCCTGGGTCAAAAAGATCCCCTGCAGGAGGGCATGGCAATCCACCTCAGTATTTTTGCCAGGAAAGTGCCGTGGACAGAGGAGCCTGGTGGACTATGGTTAATGCAGTTGCAAAGAATCAGACGTGACTGAAGCAACTGAACATGCAACTAAGCACGCACGCACAGAAGGGCACCTCGTTCTGCTTTTTGCTTCCATGTGGGCCCACTGTGTGTCTTTTAATTTTTTAAGACATGTTCAGAAAGTAGAGCTTTATATGACAGCTCCTTATTTTGAAATGTGGGCAAAAAATTCAAATGATTAAAAGACATTATGAGAGTCAGAGAACCAGGTTTGAAGGGAGGCGCTAGCATGGGGACTGTAAACCGTAAACCTCTGATGCCCAGCTTTCATTGCTTCTCGAGGAGACTAATGGATGCAAAACCTCCCTCCACAGGGCCCAGGGCTGTGCTGCCTATCTGCATGCATCCTTATTTCTTCAGGATAAACTCTCACAAGTGGGACTGTTTGATAAAATAAGGATCCAAGGCATTTGATATATATTGCCAAGGCTTTCCCAGGTTCCCTTGCCAATGCTGGGAATTAATAATAAAAGCACCCTTCTCCTAGTTTTATAGTTAAAATATTGTCATTGTTATATTATTTTATTATTTATGATATTCTTGGCTAAAAATTTTGGTGATTACATAGATCTGGAACACTCACACAGCACTTGTAGGAATGCAGAATGGTACAGCTGCTTGGCAAAATAGTTGCCAGTTTCTCAAAATGTTAAACATATACCTAATCTATGACTCAGCCATTCCATAATTAGGTGTTTTCCCAAGAGAAGAGGAAATAGATATGAAGACTGGTGCACAAATGTTTATAAAGGCTCTAATAGCAGTAGCCCCAGATTGAAAATAACCCACATACATGTCCATCAACAGATGCATGGGTAAACAAATTACGGTTTGGCCATTCGATGGCATATTATTTGGAATCAAAAGGAATGAATTGTTGACACATGTGATAATATGAATGAATCTTAAGCTCATTATGCTCAAAGATGCCAGACAAAAAAGATTTACATGCTGTATGATTCTGCTTACTCTAAAATTTCTAGAAAATACACATTGATCTATAACGACAAAAAGCAGTTTTGGTTGCCTGGTGATGGTACTGGGGACAGAAAAGAAAGATTACAAAGGAAATTTGAGAATAAAGGACACACTCATTGGTAGTGGTGGTTTTACAGGGATACACGTAGGACCGAGCATATTAACACCAAACTGTACTCATTAAAAATGTGCAGTTTATCAAGTGTTAATTACATGTCAATAAAACTGCTTTTTACAACCTCCCCAAATATTACCTTCTGCTTGTTGTCTTGTTACTGTCATTGCTGTCGTCTGGTACGCAAGGACCCTGACTTGATGAGGCTGCCTGAGCTGCACAGCTCCGGGAGTTCACTCCAGACAGGCCAGGACGTGAGCGCGCCCCCTGGAGGTGCGTAGTGAAGGCAACAGCCTCGCTAACAGGTTGGATAAACACCCCCGGGGGTTCACTGACAGCTTCTTCTATTTCTTCCTGTGGGGCCTGTCTTCTGGAAACCATTCACAAGCCCTCCCTGCATATCAAGTCAGGCTCTCAAGGGAGCGCCTGTCGTCCGGGTGGCAAAGCTGCTCTCCAGCTCTGCATTCTGGAGCTGACTTTGCTGCTGAGGAACCGGTGACATTTACTTCTGATCTGATAACTTATTTCTTGGCAAAGCACTGCCTTGTGAACGCCTTTCCTGGCACCTAGGACCAGGGCTTCAGCACTTGTTACTTTAGAAAACAGGTTTGTCCAGCAGCTTGTATTCGTAATCTTCTGTGTGATTTGTTTGACCGAGTCCACTGTCCCTGAGGTTAGTGCCATCGGCTTACAGGTCAAATGCATTTCTTTGATGGGCATCCTGAGGTGCTTGCCAAAAATGCCACTCAACAAAGTGACCGTCAAGAGTGCTTCTCTTCTTCTCTTCTTGGCATTTTTAGTGATCACCATCACTTATCTAGGTACTGCGAGCTCTATTTTTTCATACAAGGATGCTAACTTTA